CCCCCCCCCCAAAAAAAAACACCCCTGCACGATTTCCTAGAATTTATCCTTCCTGCATCCTCACGTTAGACTCTACCTCACGTCTGCTCATTTTGCATGGCCCAGGGCAGTTCCTTTGCTCCGTCGAGTGGGTTACAGTACGCGGGGGAGGACTCGCACCCCGCGCGACAAAACTTTTCAACGTGATAGCCGTTAGAGTAGTAGGCCTACTCGCGTGCGAATCGGGGTCACTCTTTCGCCCTCTCATAGCCAAAGTTCACAGCCGGTAGTCGCGCGGGGCCTTAGGTAGGCGTGGGTGTCCCGGAGATCGAAGATCGAAGATGATACCCGCTGATAAATGACAGTCACGTGACGCCGATCTCGGCCGTGATTGGCGGCCCGAGATGAGAGCCGGGGCTGCGTTCTCGGCAGGTGCCCCCCCCCCTCCCCTTCCTCTCTCTCTCTCGCTCTCGACTGCAGTCGTGTTATGATTGGGTCGGGTGCGAACGAGACGGGCGATCCGATGGCGAGGGGTCCACAAAATCAAACCCGTTTTGAACGTAGCCTTTCGTCGCCATTATTGAAGTTCTGAAGCAGGCGCGAGGATCGGCTGCATCGGCGAAGCAAGGGAGTGCGCCCGTGTCACAACACTGTCAACGACATACAGCGCGTCTCGGTGAGTAACCTGAATCGTCAACGTGTCAACCACCGCGTGCAGATAGTGACGGGTTTCCGAAAATAATAATAAAATCTGTAATGCTCCCGGCATCTGTCTCCTGACGGGTGCTCGCGCCCCCGCGTCGTTGTTTACCTTTGGCCGATAGCGAGCTGCTGCGCTGCTGCGCTGCTGCGGTGCAGAGGGGTCGTCGGACGCGCCCGTCGCGACGGTTTGCTTTTTTCTGCACATAATCATGAGGACGGGCGCATCACTTCTTTTCCAGAGTCCCGGGGGTCATGGAGGTGCTCGGGGTCAAGTGGGCGCCGCTCAACACGCCGCTGCAGCGCCGCCTGCAGACGCTGTCCGTGGTGGTGTGGTTCGTGACCTTCGTGTTCGGCGGCCTCCTGGGGTGGGCGGGGCTCGCCCTGGCCGCGCTCTACACCCGCTACTGGTGGCTGGTGCTGGCCTACCTCGTCTGGATGTACGTGGACAGGAACACCTGCGAGACGGGCGGGCGTAGGTGAGTAGAGCGGCGGGATGGCGCGAGGGGTCCTATCTATAAATAGGCCGTACTGTACACCAATTTTTCTATTTTATT